CGTATTAATTGAAATTACTTTTTATTGGCCTTGTCTCTCTGGACAGAAAGAGTCAAATCTGAAGCGTAGTTTCCATCCTTTAGCGGCATTGCAAAGAACTCACCAGGCAGCTGTTATAGGGGTATCAATTGAAATTACTTTTTATTGGCCTTGTCTCTCTGGACAGAAACAGTCAAATCTGAATCGTAGTTTCCATCCATTAGCTGCATTGCAAAGAACTCACAAGCCAGCTGTTATAGGCGTATTATTTGAAATTACTTTTTATTGGCCTTGTCTCTCTGGACCGAAAGAGTCAAATCTGAAGCGTAGTTTCCCATCCTTTAGCCAGCTGTTATAGGCATTGCAAAAATTACTTTTTACTCACCAGCCAGCAGTTGTAGAAGTTATTAATTGAAATTACTTTTTATTGGCCTTGTCTCTCTGGACAGAAACAGTCAAATCTGAAGCGTAGTTTCCATCCTTTGAAATTACTTTTGGCCTTGTCTCTCTGGACCGAAACAGCGGCATTGCAAAAAGAACTCACCAGGCAGCTGTTATAGAAGTATTAATTGAAATTACTTTTTATTGGCCTTGTCTCACTGGACAGAAACAGTCAAATCTGAATCGTAGTTACCATCCATTAGCTGCATTGCAAAGAACTCACAAGCCAGGTGTTATAGTAGTATTAATTGAAATTACTTTTTATTGGCCTTGTCTCTCTGGACAGAAACAGTCAAATCTGAAGCGTAGTTTCCATCCCTTAGCTGCATTGCAAAGAACTCACAAGCCAGGTGTTATAGGAGTATTAATTGAAATTACTTGTTATTGGCCTTGTCTCTCTGGACCGAAAGAGTCAAATCTGAAGCGAAGTTTCCATCCCTTAGCTGCATTGCAAAGAACTCACAAGCCAGCTGTTATAGGCGTATTAATTGAAATTACTTTTTATTGGCCTTGTCTCTCTGGACAGAAAGAGTCAAAACTGAAGCGTAGTTTCCATCCCTTAGCTGCATTGCAAAGAACTCACAAGCCAGCTGTTATAGGAGTATTAATTGAAATTACTTTTTATTGGCCTTGTCTCTCTGGACCGAAAGAGTCAAATCTGAAGCGAAGTTTCCATCCCTTAGCTGCATTGCAAAGAACTCACCAGCCAGCTGTTATAGGGGTATTAATTGAAATTAATTTTTATTGGCCTTATCTCTCTGGACCGAAACATTCAAATCTGAATCGTAGTTACCATCCCTTAACTTGCAAAAGAACTCATTTATAGGAGTATTAATTGAAATTACTTTTTACTCTGGACAAAACCAAATCTGAAGCTGTTTCCATCCCTAGCTGAATTGCAAAGAACTCATTAATTAATTGAAATTACTTTTATTGGCCTTGTTTCTCTGGACAGAAACAGTCAAATCTGAAGCGTAGTTTCCATCCCTTAGCTGCATTGCAAAGAACTCACAAGCCAGCTGTTATAGGCGTATTAATTGAAATTACTTTTTATTGGCCTTGTCTCTCTGGACCGAAAGAGTCAAATCTGGAGCGTAGTTTCCATCCTTTAGCGGCATTGCAAAGAACTCACCAACCAGCAGTTATAGAAGTATTAATTGAAATTAATTTTTATTGGCCTTGTCTTTCTGGACAGAAACAGTCAAATCTGAAGCGTAGTTTCCACCCCTTAGCTGCATTGCAAAGGACTCACAAGCCAGCTGATATAGGCGTATTAATTGAAATTACTTTTTATTGACCTTGTCTCTCTGGACCGAAAGAGTCAAATCTGAAGCGAAGTTTCCATCCCTTAGCTGCATTGCAAAGAACTCACAAGCCAGCTATTATAGGCGTATTAATTGAAATTACTTTTTATTGGCCTTGTCTCTCTGGACAGAAACAGTCAAATCTGAAGCGTAGTTACCATCCCTTAGCTGCATTGCAAAGAACTCAAAAGCCAGCTGTTATAGGAGTATTAATTGAAATTACTTTTTATTGACCTTGTCTTTCTGGACAGAAACAGTCAAATCTGAAGCGTAGTTTCCATCCCTTAGCTGCATTGCAAAGAACTCACAAGCCAGCTGTTATAGGGGTATTAATTGAAATTACTTTTTATTGGCCTTGTCTCTCTGGACCAAAAAGCATTTCATCCCTTAATCAAAGAACTCACCAGCCAGCTGTTATAGGGGTATTAATTGTTACCCTTTTTTTCTGGACAGAAACCAAAACTAAGCGTGTTTCATCCCTGCTGCAAAAGAACTCACAAGCCAGCTGTTATAGGCGTATTAATTGAAATTACTTTTTATTGGCCTTGTCTCTCTGGACCGAAACAGTCAAATCTGAAGCGTAGTTTCCATCCCTTAGCTGCATTGCAAAAAACTCACCAGCCAGGTATTATAGGGTATTAATTGAAATTACTTTTTTATTGGCCTTGTCTCTCTGGACCGAAACAGTCAAATCTGAAGCGTAGTTTCCATCCCTTAGCTGCATTGCAAAGAACTCACAAGCCAGCTGTTATAGGCGTATTAATTGAAATTACTTTTATTGGCCTTGTCTCTCTGGACAGAAAGAGTCAAATCTGAAGCGTAGTTTCCATCCCTTAGCTGCATTGCAAAAGAACTCACAAGCCAGCTGTTATAGGCGTATTAATTGAAATTACTTTTTATTGGCCTTGTCTCTCTGGACCGAAACAGTCAAATCTGAAGCGTAGTTTCCATCCCTTAGCTGCATTGCAAGAACTCACCAAGCCAGCTGTTATAGGGGTATTAATTGAAATTAATTTTTATTGGCCTTATCTCTCTGGACCAAAACATTCAAATCTGAATCGTAGTTACCATCCATTAGCTGCATTGCAAAGAACTCACAAGCCAGCTGTTATAGGCGTATTAATTGAAATTACTTTTTATTGGCCTTGTCTCTCTGGACCGAAAGAGTCAAATCTGAAGCGTAGTTTCCATCCCTTAGCTGCATTGCAAAGAACTCACCAGCCAGCTGTTATAGGGGTATTAATTGAAATTACTTTTTATTGGCCTTGTCTTTCTGGACCGAAAGAGTCAAATCTGAAGCGTAGTTTCCATCCCTTAGCTGCATTGCAAGAACTCACAAGCCAGCTGTTATAGGAGTATTAATTGAAATTACTTTTTATTGGCCTTGTCTCTCTGGACCGAAACAGTCAAATCTGAAGCGTAGTTTCCATCCCTTAGCTGCATTGCAAGAACTCACAAGCCAGCTGTTATAGGAGTATTAATTGAAATTACTTTTTATTGGCCTTGTCTCTCTGGACAGAAACAGTCAAATCTGAAGCGTAGTTTCCATCCCTTAGCTGCATTGCAAAGAACTCACAAGCCAGGTGTTATAGTAGTATTAATTGAAATTACTTTTTATTGGCCTTGTCTCTCTGGACAGAAACAGTCAAATCTGAAGCGTAGTTTCCATCCCTTAGCTGCATTGCAAAGAACTCACAAGCCAGGTGTTATAGGAGTATTAATTGAAATTACTTGTTATTGGCCTTGTCTCTCTGGACAGAAACAGTCAAATCTGAAGCGTAGTTTCCATCCCTTAGCTGCATTGCAAGGAACACATCAGCCAGCAATTATAGAAGTATTAATTGAAATTACGTTTTATTGGCATTGTCTCTCTGGACTGAAACAGTCAAATCTGAATCGTAGTTTCCATCCATTAGCTGCATTGCAAAGAACTCACCAGTCAGCTGTTATAGGAGTATTAATTGAAATTACTTTTTATTGGCTTTGTCTCTCTGGACCGAAACAGTCAAATCTGAATCGTAGTTTCCATCCATTAGGTGCATTGCAAAGAACTCACCAGCCAGCTGTTATAGGGGTATTAATTGAAATTACTTTTTATTGGCCTTGTCTCTCTGGACAGAAACAGTCAAATCTGAAGCGTAATTTCCATCCCTTAGCTGCATTGCAAAGAACTCACAAGCCAGCTGTTATAGGGGTATTAATTGAAATTACTTTTTACTGGCCTGGTTTCTCTGTGCAAAACGTTTGTGATCCTGTATTGAAGTTGAGATCTTTTAACTCCAAAAAGAACTCTTCATGTGGCTCTAGGCATTATCAAGTAACTCGATTCTTGACTTGCCTAGTGGATTTAATTCTTTTCTCAATGTTTAAAATCCAAGGTATTAGAAGTTATGTCCCCCCCCTAACCTACATTTTATTTATGTTTTATATTCCACGACAAAAATAATCCTTTTGTGTCTGGAAGAAGAAAATCTGTTAAAGACTTCCCTAAATTTACGCCCATATCGCGTTGAAACACCGGTTCTTGTACAATCAACGAAATTAAACAATTTCGAGTCTGGTCAGTACTTAGAATACCAGGAACTATAAGCTTGGATATGCGGGTGGTGTAGTGGATAATGGCTGCAAATTGGAAATCGCGTGACGAATTCCAGTTCCCGTTGCGTTCGTTATATCCACAAACGCGCAAATAGTCTTAAGGAAAAGTATGAATGCACCTCTTCTCCTTCAGCTATGGGTTAATTAGTTAGACTTGCATCACTAAATCATTATTATCTCCCCCACCCCCACGTATAAATTCCTACAATCTATAAATATTTTCTGGTTTTAAATAACCTGCAATGATTGATACGCTGTAGAAAACGAATCATCAATCAATAACCTTCTTTCACCTGAGTCTATTTCGTTGCTAGGCAAACGAGGAGACATTTTAAAGCGAATTGGATAGCTGAGAAAGAGTAATTTTTTCCTGTAATTACTGCCAAAGCAAATAAATACTGGAAGGTATAAAAGATAAGAGGTGTACCCCTCTACTTACAAAGGCTAATGAAGATGAGGTAATTTGTAATTGCTGAGAAAAAAGCAAAACAAATGTTTGTGGTGAAGTGAGGAAAAGGCCTACTTAAATTTTTTTTCCTCGGGAACAAATGAAGTTGTAGCAAGAAATAGTTTTTTTCTAATGGTAATAGGCTGGCAACAGAATGACGAAAGAATCGTGAAGAATATAGCGATAATGACCTGGTAGCCAATTAATACTGGGAGAAAAATAAGAAGAAATCAGGGAAAAAGAGTATCCGAAGAATGAGGGCGACGAAAGAAAGTGAATGGGAAAAGAAAGGGAAAGAAAGAAAGAAAGAAAGAAAAAAAGAAAGAAAGAAAGAGACGGGCGAATAAAAAAGGATGAAAGAGTGGGGAGAAAGAAAGGAAGAAAGAGAGTTGGGGGAATAAGAAAGGATGAAAGAGATTAGAGTAAGAACAAAGAAAAAAGAAAGAAAAGAAACGGGTGAATAGAACCCGATGAAAGAAAGAAAGAAAGAAGGAAAGAAAGAGACGAGTGAATAAGATAAGAAAGAAAAAAAGAAAGAAAGAAAGAAAGAAAGAAAGAAAAAACAACCTAAGGCAAGAAAAACAGAATGAGATTGAAAGAATCAAATTGGAAGGAAAAAGATGAAAAAAGACGAAAAAAAAAGAAGAAAAAGGGGAAAGAAAAAACAAAGCAAAAAATCGGGCGAGAAAAGAAAAGAAAAGAAAATGGAAGAAATAAAAAGCAAAAAATGTGAAAGAAAGTAAAAGAAAAACGAAGACTGAATAACGAAAAGAAAGAAGAAAAGAATGCTTGAAGAAAAGAAAGAAAAAATAAAAAAAGAAAGAGGGAAAAAGAAAGAAGGAAAGACGAAAGAAGGAAAGACAAAAGAAAGAAAGAAAAAGTGTGAAAAAGAAAATCAATGGCAAAAAAAGACAAAAATAAAGTAGAAAATGAAATAATGAATTCTTAGAAATAAAGAATAAAAGGAAAATATTTACAAAAACATTAGAAAGAACAAGAAAATGGAAGTAAGAATGAAAATTATAAAAGAAAAAGAAAAAAGGAAAAGAATTTAAAAACTAAAAGAAAAGAAAAAAAAGCATTTTGTCAAATAGACGAAAATAAAGTGACTACGAAATAAAGTAAACGGAATGAAACCAACAAAAGAAAAGAGAGAATGAAAAACAAATGAAACAGAATATAAAAAAATAATGAGATTAGGAGAAGTTTTTTTTGGCAAGGAAAAGAAAGAAAGATTAAATAAAGAAATAAAAAGCTTAAGGGGAAAGAAAGAGGAAATAAAACAGTATGAAAGAGAAAAGATAAAAAGTAAAGGAAAGGAAATGAGAAGAGAATAGGACAAAAAAGAAAAGAAAGACAGACGGGATGGAAAAAGGAAACTGAATAAGAAAAACAAAAAGAGAGAAGGAAGAAAGAAAGAAAGAAAGAAAGAAACAAGAAAACACAAAACAAAGAATGGAAATGAAATTTGAAGAAGAAAGAAATAAGAAAGGATAAATAACACAGTGAGGAAGCGAACAGAAAGAAAGAAAAGGAAGAAGAGAAGAAAATATAAAAAAAAGTAAAAAAATAGACGGGATGGAAAAAGGAAACCGAATAAGAAAGAAAGAAAGACAGAAAGAAAGAAAGAAAGAAAGAAAGAAAGAAAGAAAAAGGAAGAAAGAATGAAACTCAAAGAAGGGAAAATTGGAGTAAAAAAAAAAATCGCAAAAAAATAAGACTGAAATGAAATTAAATAAAGATGGTTTTCGGCGCAGTAAACTGGAGACTTGATTAGAAATTTCAAAACAATGAAATTGGAAACAGTGCTAAAACATCAATTCATGGTGTCAGAACTTTCACCGAAATTTAGAAATGTTTTGAAAAAATCATCTATTGCCAGTAACGAAATGGAAATTGAACAAAAACTAAAGAGGTTAACGAAATAGAAATGTACTTTTGTTTTATTAAATGTCATTATTCTTTGATTTTCTCTTTGTGTGCGTAAGTGCATTTATTAAGTTGCTATAAATCTCTTTAATGTCATATTTTACACAAAGTTAGGAAAATCTTACAAGTATCTCTGACGTTTGCTCATCTGTGTATTGCATGTATTTAAGAATTGGCTCAGGTAAAGAGAAACACATTTTAATTTATTTGGGAGAAAAATGATGAGTGAATATAAAATTCACATTCAGCATTCTTTACTCATCCAATTAATTTTATGAAAAAGTTTAGTGGAAATAAGGCTAAGGACCATATATATATATATATATATATATATATATGAAAGTCAACATTGAAATCAGCACTCAGATGGAACAATCGTTCATGCTAGACGCAATCGTCGACCTGACGATTGCGTCTGGCATGAAACAGCCTGTCGCCTCTGAGTGTTGACTTCAATGCTCACTTATATATTTAATATATTTATATTTATATTTACATACGCTTTATCTCTGATATCGAAAACTTTATCCCATAAATATATCACACCTTAAAACTATATATATATATATATATATATATATATATATATATATATATATATATATATATATATATATATAAATATATATATATATATATATATATATATATATATATATATATAGTTTTAAGGTGTGATATATTTATGGATAAAGTTCTCGATATCAGGGACAGAGCGTATGTAAATATAAATATATAAGTGAGCATCTTGAAGTTTATAAGCAGTAAATTCGACCTTGCCAACCGAATGATCCTTTGTGGCCGAGAGGTAAGGCACTTCAGGCTATATGACGGTTCCGTATAAGATACAGGTTCCAATCCTGTCGAAGGACGAATATTTTCTATGAAAATTTCTCGGACATTCAGGCCGGTAAATGTTATTTAATACTGTTTATTATAAACAGAGCATTTACTTAAATACTTGTATCAATAAAAGGAATATTAAACAATAATGTCGTTAAAAATATATATATATAGTGTATTGGGCAGCATATCATTATTTAAACATATATTGTTAAATATAACAGACAACGAATGTATATTATGCTTGATCAGGAGCCGTCCTAAACTTCGTATAGTTGCTTTCATTTCGAAACATATATATATACCGTTTTTGCAGGCCTATTGAACGCAGATTTTGAAAAAATACCAGAAAAATCCCCTGCGTCCAATACAGCACTATCATGAGAGGGACATGAAGACCGCGAAAAAAAAGGTGGAGTTCCCCAGGAATCAGTGCGTGTATGGAGCTTAGCTCTGAAACTAGGACTCCTGGAGGTTAACCAATATGATATCAACAAAAATAGCCGACTGGTGTTTGCAATTAATTTAGAATTTCCTTACCCTTTCTGGGTATATTTCTCAGTGATATCATGTGTGATATCTTAAAGATGGCTGTTGTTAATATAAATACGAGATGTGTACGAATAACTTGTTCAGATTATGTTTGCTCGGGAGTGAAATGCGTGTTCCATTTTCGCTCAAATCAAATGACTCTGATGCTCATATTTCAGCAGAATAATGGCCTTAGATTATCTAGTACTAGCTAATTAGCATACTAATTGTGGAGTTGCCACATTTCTCTTTGTGTAGACAGCTTTGGGCAGTCTAACACTGTATGACAAGGTTTACATTACGTTGATCTGGGTGGTGGAAAGTCAGCGACTATCTTGTATGTTTCAAACTTTGATTTCTTTTCTTTTTATGTGCCATGTCATTTCAGGATGTAGGCGATCATGGCTCTCCATCTCCCTGTATCCCATGCAGTTCTCAACAAATTCCTTCCTTCCGTTTCCTCCCCCAGACCACTTGCTTAAGTCCGCCAGGTATGTCACACGTTGTTTTCCCTTGTCTCTCTTTCCCTCTATTCGCCCCTTGAGTGTCAGATTCTCCAGGCCCTCCTTCCTCATGATGTGTCGCAGAAACTTTAGCTGCCTCTTCCTGATATTAAGTATAAGCTTCCTCCTTGTTTGCAACCTTTCTAAGACCTCATCGTTGCTCACATGCTCAGTCCATGATATTCTTATCATCCTTATGTAGAACCACATATCTGTCGCCTTGAGTGTCTTCTTCATCTTTGAGAAAATCGTCCAACATTCGCTGCCGTAAAGAAGGACTGATGTCACGTAACAGTTCAGTATTTTTTCTTTGTTACCAAAGAATCCTCTTGCCTCGCTGTACTCTACCCAGCTTTTGGAATGTGTCCTTGGCCATCCCAATAAGCCTACGGATCTCAGTGTCGCATTTACCGTTCTCTGTCAAGACGCTTCCCAGATATTTAAACTTCCGCGTCTGCTTGATTCTAGTGTTACCAACCTTGCCTTAATTTCTTTTTCCTGGGTGTTAAGGCGAAACTTAACGTAAAAGACTCGTTCAGAATTTGAACTTATCTCGTTGAACCCGTTTTCGGCGCCTATAAACGTTACATTGCCTATACATCCATAATAACACAGCAACGTGTATGTTCAATCGTCATGTAATTACCCTTGCATATTCGTCAGCTGTTGGAATAGATTCAATCCATACATATGTATCATTAACGTGGGCTTGTGCTAGACTGAACATCTTCTATGAACCGTGCATCTTCAGAACTTATGCGAGCATGGATCTCCACAACTTCCTACCTTTAATTGCTCTAACTAATGTTTGTCGCCTTACTATCATTCCCAGTCTGCCATCCATTGCTCGTTGGGTAGGTTACTCACAGCTTTTCCCTATGCCTCTTTTTAAAAAATCATTTCGCACCCAAGCAAAGCAATAAAACCAACAAAACTGAAAGGGTCATTGAGAGCGGAAAAAAAAACCCCTGAGAAAACGTTGAGAAGAGAGTGTACATTAAAGACTAATATTCAAGGAGACAGATGATGACGATTGAAATTGTATTTAAATTTTTGAAGATCGTCGTTGACAGGAAATTAAGAAGCCAGAAGAGTTCCACAAGCGAACCTTCAATATGTCCTGTTAGTATAAAAATATCCAAACCTTGTTTCCTCATTATGTATCCAAGAAATTTCAACGGTCCCTTTCTGGTTCGAAGTAAAAGTGTACTTTTTTTTTTACTTCATTTTCTTTAAATCTTTGTTGTTTACATTCCCCGTCCATAGTATTCTCACCATCCTTCTGCATAACTGTTATATACCATAGATATGAACACTAATGGGTATGTCCTAATCCTTATAAATACACTATTATAAGTGGGGGTAGTATGCCGTCTAAGTAGTTCACCATAGCAGTGGTTTACCTACTTCACGCCGCTGGCGAGTATTGTATTTTGTTGATGTTAAGAAGATTACCATTTTCATTTCCAACCTCCGTTTTGGTTATTCCTCATTCATTAAACTTTTCTAGGTTACAACAGATAGATAGATAGATAGATAGTGTTATATATCGTACCTATAAACACTAATGAATATGTCCCAATCCTCATAAATACGTTCGACACTATTGTAAGTGTGGGTAATATGCTGTCTAATTAGTCCACCACAAGCAGTGGTTTACCTACTTTACGCCGCTGGCGAGTATTGTATTTTGTTGATGTTATAAAGATTACCATCCGATTTCCAACCTCCGTTTTGGCTATTCCTCATTCAGTAACCTTTTCTAGGTTACAACAATAACCATATGCCTGTTGCCTTATATCCCCCCTCTTCGTCTATGATGAAATTGTCCAACATTCACTGCCATATAGGAGGACTAACATTACCTAGCAGCTGACCATTGTTTTTTTTTTTTTGCTTCTACTGAAATATTCTTACGTCTTAATATTTGTCTAGCATTTGGAAGACATTTTTATTTCTATCCTAATTCATCTTCGGATTTTTGTGTCATATTCTCCGTTATCTATTAAAATGTTCACAGATATTTAAACCTCTGTACATGTTTGATTTTCATATCTCCAGTTCGTAGTTCGAATATTGGCTTCTTTCACTTGCATGCAACCATATATTCTATCTTCTTACAGTTGGCGGTTAGTTCTTTCTTTTCATCTTCCGTTACTATCTTGTCTTGGAGTTCCTGAAGTTTTTCTTCTACGTTTGTCATCAACACAGTATCATGTTCGTATCTTATGTTGTTACGATTGTGCCAAACAATAATAAATCCTTTCTATTTTCTCATAGGATTTCGTCGTTGGAAAGCTAGTAATGGTTGATTAGCAGGGCTGACTCGGTCCCATAGGCTGGGTTGGCACCAGTCTACCATAGAAAGAAACGGCAACCAACTTCGGGAAAATATTCTGCCTGATCAGTGAGCAATCGAAAGAGACATAATCGCCCAATCACGTATCACGTATGGCATGTAACTGACTAACTGAAAATCTGAATAAATCCGATGAGAAAACACATCCGTGTCTTACGCCTGTAGGGATACAAAAGACGATTACCTCCAGATGTCTTCATGTGGGTCACGTGATGGCTTCTTAATGACGTCACTTCATAGAGTAAATAAAGTTGCTAGTCAATCAGTTAACCGTCTTGAGTCAAGATATACGTGTTATTCGTTCTAGCCTGGCTAACCAGTTGCTACTCTGTGCAGCTTACAAGCTCCCGGCGGTGTTTTCCTATGGAAATATCTTTTCACCAGATATAGAAACTATCTCCGGCTGGTAGTTTTCAATTTGGGAAAAAAACTCATGTCTCGCCGTTTCCTTGTTTGAGGGGAATGTATCTTTGCTAGTGACATAACATATAAATCCGGCCCGCTCGAATCTGGAATCCTAAATATGACTTTTCCAGAAACACAGAAGCGTCTTCGGCAGCACCAATTTCTGTTGGGAATTATTACAATTCTCTCTCTTTTAACCCCTTTCACTTTGCTTGTTGGTGCATATCTATTATAGTTTCTATACGTGGGGGACATGTAAATATAATTTTGGGTATGAGTGGTATAAAACTCTCTCTGAGAACAACGTATGTTTGTAATTCCTTTCCATTCAGCTATTCCGTTCCGTCAGTGAAATGAGTTCTTATATCATGGATATAATAGTGACAATGATGGGGATAATACAAACAGGGAGAATATTCCGTTCCGTCCGTGAAATGAGTTCTTATATCATGGATATAATAGTGACAATAATGGAGATAATACAAACAGGGAGAATATTCCGTTCCGTCCGTGAAATGAGTTCTTATATCATGGATATAATAGTGACAATAATGGAGATAATACAAACAGGGAGAATATTCCGTTCCGTCCGTGAAATGAGTTCTTATTGATATCATGGATATAATAGTGACAATAATGGATAATAAAACAGGGAGAATATTCCGTTCCGTCCGTGAAATGAGTTCTTATATCATGGATATAATAGTGACAATAATGGAGATAATACAAACAGGGAGAATATTCCGTTCCGTCCGTGAAATGAGTTCTTATATCATGGATATAATAGTGACAATAATGGGGATAATACAAACTGGGAGAATATTCCGTTCCGTCCGGGAAATGAGTTCTTATATCATGGATATAAAAGTGGCAATAATGGGGATAATACAAAATGGGAGAATATTCTGTTCCGTCCGGGAAATGAGTTCTTATATCATGGATTTAATAGTGACAATAATGGGGATAATACAAACTGGGAGAATATTCCGTTCGTGAAATGAGTTATTATATCATGGCTATAATATTGACAATAATGGGGATAATACAAACTGGGAGAATATTCCGTCCGTGAAATGAGTTCTTATATCATGGATATAATAGTGACAATAATGGGGATAATACAAACTGGAAGAATATTCCGTCCGTGAAATGAGTTATTATATCATGGCTATAATAATGACAATAATGGGGATAATACAAACTGGGAGAATATTCCTTTCTTCCATAGCGCACCCATAATCTGGTAATCCTCGATGTGATTCGAAATTATTTACACCCATTAACTAGTAACCACAACGCGATATATTATAAACCCCACAATTCAGCTTGCGTGCATTTACTCATCTGAACAATGATTATTACATGATGATAATTAATTGTAAAGAAAGTTAAATAAGTCTGTTGCAAAATTAACATGGAACTTTCTGAAGTGTTTAACAAATCAAATAGTCCTGTTATCATTAACTATTTATTGAATCAGTTCAGATGAAATTCTTTCTTTGTAAGATGAGATGAAAGAAGTGAGTAGCCAATATTACTTGTGCGTAATCGAGGTGTGGAAACAGTTAATAAATTGATTTGCTTTGCGTTAGTCGGTATAATGATTAATAAAAAAACAAAAAAGTATTGACAATAAATTAAGATGTAAGTATTCAATAGATTATTTATCATATTGCTTTTTCGGGTGGATAGTATCAAGCAGTCACCTTCCTCCTAAATCGATCATGGTACGATTCGAATCCAGTTCTAACCGTCCGTCTACATAGTGGTATT